TCAACAACAGTGAACTGAGCAACTCGTAAAAATGTATCAATTCAATAATGGACGAAAAAGAAATGGATCAAGATAGAAATTGAGAAAAAATATGACATTCTAGAATTGAGTTAAAATGAATATACAGCGTACCCAATATTATGGGACACAAAAAAAAAGTGGTGCTAAGAGGAAAGTTAATAGCACTAAGTGCCATCATAAAAAAAGGGAATTCTCTCATACTATCAACTTAACAGCACACTTGAAAGTCTAAAACAAAAAGAAATAATCTTTTTGATGAGTAGGACCAATACTCTTCAAATTAATATATAATAAAATAAATATAATAAAAATAAATACCAGGATCTCCAAGGCTCCTGTTGCCATCAAGGGCCCTGTGAATGCCTGGATCTGGGTCACCACCTAAAACCATGTTGGTGTTTGAGGGCCTTGCAATCACTGGATCCACCCTTATCTGAGTGAACTATACTGTCAACCCAGACCATGGTGACTTGACCTGAAGTTGCTGACAAGGACCATGTGTGAATCTGTAGTCCAAACTACAGTCTGAGTCTGTGTTGATATCTGTGGCTCCAGTTACCATAGAAGACAGTGGGGAAATAGCTACACAGAGTTGGTCCCACTCTTCACTAGCTGCAACACTTCGGGGAACTAGCTGTTTACCCCAACCAACTGCAGTACTCCAGAGAGCAGGCCCTATACCTAGCCTGGGCAGCACAACAGAGCAGACTCCATTGGCAAGGCGCGCAGGTGAGCTAGCCCTGAAGGCATGAGCTGGCCTCACTATCTGTCACATGAAGAAATATGCTCTTCTCACTCCTTGACACCTACTGCAGGTGGAAAATTGGTCCTGGAGTCACAGGAGTTGGACAACAGACCCTGCACCTCACCTGGACAACACATAGAGCTGACCCAGTTTGCAGGGATGAAGGTGAGCTGCCACTGAGGGTAGTAGGTCAGAACTGGCTCTGCTCCTGGATGACTATTAAAGTGGATGAGCTAAAAAATAATAATAATAATTAAAAAAATAATAATAATTAGGTAGGGTAACTCAAGAGAGTTTGCCCTGTTGGTGCCCATGAGGAAAAGCCTGGCCAACTTAGGGTGGATGGAGAAGGGAGGACAGAAAGGGAGGAAGAGGGGGAAAGTCGGGGGAGAAGAACTCAAAGGAATGGGATGATTGAAATGGGAGAAGGGCAGAGAGAGCAAGGGAAAAAATATCTTAAGAGAGGGAGCAATTGTGGGGATAGTAAGAAACCTGATACTAGAGAAATTCTCAGGAATACACAAGGATTTCCCCAGCTAAGACCCTAAACAATAGTGGAGAGGGTTCCTGAACTGGCCTTGTCCTGTTGTTGGATTGAAGACTATCATAAAAGTCATCATAGAACCTTTATGCAGTAACTGATGAAAGCAGATGCAGAGAAAACTCTTTATGGAAGAAATGTTATACTTCAGTCACCAAGACCACTGTGGTCTCATCACATTTGTTACCATTGCAATAATGACTGATGAATGGTATGCAATCAGTGCTCTTATAGCTGAACAATGCGATGGTAGCAAACAGTGTGCTTGCCCTAAGTTGCTGCTCCTCCTCTTCTTCCTCTTCCTCTGCTTCCTTGATTCTTTTGCTTTGTCTACTTCCTTTAAACTGTCAGAATGCCTTCAGATACCATTTTAGAAACTATCTTTCTTTTTTCTCTAGGAGCCAGTACTTGTGTTCCCTACCCAAATGGCTATCTTTCTTGTTCTCATAGTCATTGTCCTTTAACTTTCCTTATAGGTGAAAATCGAAGTCACTTTAGAAAACATTATCACTTAGATAAGTACAATTATTATTCATTAACTGAAAACTGTAGTTCTTTACACAAAATGCAATCTTTCAAATAATTGAGAGGTTTTATTTCACTTTCACTCTTTCTTTTTTGACGTTTTATTCTTTTTGTTTTACTTGTTTATTTGTTCTTTTTGTTTGTTTGGTTGGTTATAAAGACACAGCCTCTGTATATAACACATGGTATCCTAGAACTAACTATGTAATTCAGGGAATCCTTGAACTGGTGATGCACTAGCATCAGACACTCATGTGTGAAATTATAATATGTGTCGCCACAACTTTCAGAATTGTTTTGTTTGTTTTTTTATCACTGTAGTTTCTTAGCATCAAGTAGCTGTGCCTGGTAATATATGCCTATACTCCTAACAACTCTAGAGTCTGAGTTCAAGACCTACCCTGAAATCCAGAAAGGGTTCACAGTCAGCATGGATAACTCAGACCTTGTTTCAAACAAAAAAGTTAAAAGAGATGTGTATACATAGTTCAATGGTAGGGTAGTTATATGAATCTTAAATGACCCTGAGTTAGCTCCAAGTGTGTATTAACACAAATTCTCTCCATGTTCAATTGCAGTGACAGTGATACTATTATCAATGATAGGGTGATTACACAGATACTAGCAAAGGCAGCTATGTTGGAACTGCCAGCAGCCATCATCAGTGCTGAGAAGTTGTTAAGACAAGGGTAGTGGCACATGCCTATAGTCTCAGTCCTCAAGAGACAAAGATATGAGAATGATAATGTTATGATCTCTCTGAAATCCACAACATACTTCTGTCTCAAGGCAAAAGGACCAAAGAAAACAGTGAGAAACTATTGAGTATCAAATACATACTTATTTGAAAGAAGTTAAGTAGAAAAAAATATATGTTTATATTTCTGGGATATTGTATTTAAAACAAAGTATGTAATACTTTAAAAATATGTATTATTATTTATCAATTTTTCAATGTGTACCCGAGAAGTTTTAATAGCAGAATCTAAGACCCTATGACTCAAAACGTGCAAAACTCAAACTCAAAACCAAATCATTTCTGTTGGTCCTTCCATTTTACATAGCTTACTAAACTCATGCTGACACAGGATCAAGTAGCTCCCACCTAACTCGTGACACTGTTTCAGCTGACATCTAGCAACCTTGATTCATTTCTTAGGTATGCATAATTAGCAAAGAATTGTCACACCTCCTGTGGGGCATGCAAATTTTTATTATTTAAATTTTCTTTTTCATGAACTTCAGTACAAATTCTTCCTGGAAGCTACTTTAGTTATAAATGATCATTGACCATGCTTCAGAATATTAGAGAAGCAAGGAAAAGCTGGCAGATGTTTGATTGACATCACTCAGACTTTTATTGTGCATATTTCCATCCATTCCTTTCCCTTACCAAGCCCAATTCAAACTCATGTTATTCACTCTTCACACTTGTATGCACACTCTTCGGCTCGGCTTTCTTCCACAGCATTCATCTGTTTCCCAAAACCTTTCTTCATCCTCATCAAGATCATTGCTGCCCTGAAACTCTAATCAGCTCCTCCCTTTACTTAGATGTTCTGTTGGCAACCACACACCTGCCACGTCCTGAGAAAAGTACTTCAACCAGCCCACCCAAGAGAGTAAGATAATTATTCTCAGTAAAATTACATTTTTGTGTTTTTCTGTTTTAAATGATTTATTTATTATGATTTATTTTATTATGTATACAGTGTTCTCCTGGTATGTATTCCTACAAGTCAGAAGAGTGTACCAAATTTTATTACTGACTGTGAGTCACCATGTGGTTGCTGGAAATTGAACTCAGGACTTCTGGAAGAGCAGTCAGTGCCAGTAATCTCTGAACTATTTCTCCATCCCCTACAATTACATTTTTTTAAGTTTTTGTATGTTATTTTTTCATTATATACTCACTAGTACAAAATTTAGTTTTATCACCACCTTGCTATTCTGTACCCTTCTAAGATCATAAATACTTTCAGTCTTCTTCAGATCTACAATTGTAAGATTAGACCAAATCTTACATATCTTGCTGTCTAAAATAACATAGATGGTTACTCAGTTTATATTTGCTCTTCAATAAACATGATAATTGTATATTATAAAATTAAAATCAAAAAAGGGAAAGAAGTGACCACCAATAAATTAAGATTATATATTTTTGAGGAAAAAACAAAATTCCTTTAACAATGACAGCTAAAATTGCTTAGCCAAATTCTTCCCAATGAAGATATAGCATGACTTTATACACACATTTAGCTCAACTCCATAAATGGAAAACCTAATATAGGATCCCTTTGTCTTATATGACCACAATTGTTTCACTTTTAGTCTGCAAGCACTGGAATCACAACAGACTTATCAACTCCTCTTCACTAAACTGATTTAAGGATAAAGAGAACCATTCAAAAAGAAATCTACAACTATTTGTAGAGGATGTGTACCTGAGTAAATGAGACTCTAAGACTATCGAAATCCATCTCTCAGTGCCACAGTGACATAGACTTCTAGATGTACCCTAGTCAAAGATCTCACAGGTGTGCTTAAGATGTAGATAAATGGAAGAGCACTTGACAAGCATGTAAAAGATTTTGGGAATATGATTTTTGAAACATACAACCTGCAAAAATATTAAACAGTGTTCAAATGAAGTTTAAAAGACTTCATTACCTTATCATTTCTGAGTATAATATCATCCATTGCTTTGTATACATAAATCCCTGTGGTTTCTAAGACTAGATTGTAATATACTGGTAGATGGTTGCACGACTGTGTTTGTTCAGTCTCTAATACTGAAAAAAAGATACATATGATTTTGGAAAAATGTCAAATAAACTCTGTTCTCTACCATAAAAGAATGATGGGTTAATCATTCTTTACTGTCTTTACTTCTGAAATTGTCTTGATAATTAACTTAACTTTGCATAATGTTAAATAGCTTTAATTTCACAGTATTCTGACCACTGATATCTGTTCCCAATTTTGTTTTGTTTTGTTTTTTGGATTTTAGTGTTATTTTAGTTGTTGTTGTCATTAAAGTTTTTCAAGACAGTGGATCAAACCCAGGGCCTCATGCACATAAGCAAATGCTCTGCAAATAAGTGACTCCTCCAGTCCTATGCTTCAAATGTGCTAAGAGTTACTTCTATAACAAATACAGATTCTTACTTAGGTTAGTATGCTTTTGTTCAAAGTTTTTCTCAGTGCAATGTGGACATCCTTATTCCGTAAACTGTATATGAAAGGATTCAGCATTGGGCCCACAATGGTATAAAAAATGGTAGATACTTTATCTTCATCTCCAGATGCACGAGAAGGCTTAAGATACATGAATGCTGAGGCTCCAAAGAAAAGAGAAACAGCTACAATATGGGAACCACAGGTGCTGAAGGCTTTTGACCTACCCTCTGCAGAACGGATGCCAAGGATGTTGGAAAGGATCAAGGTGTAAGAAATAAAGATCGTCAGGCTGGGCACGATTACATTGACACCCACAACAATGAAAACAACCAGTTCATTTATGGCAGTATCTGTGCAGGAGAGCTTCCTAAGAGGAGGTATGTCACACATGTAGTGATTGATGATGTTGCCATCACAGAAGCTCAGACTTAGCATGCTACAAGTATGGGCCAAGGCTCCCACAAATCCCATCACATACACAACTATCGTCATCATGTGGCAGACCTGATAGGACATGGTGACCTGGTAAAGCAGGGGCTTACAGATGGCAGCATATCTGTCATAGGCCATGGCCGTCAAAATATAACATTCATCAATAACAAAGAAGCAGAAGAAAAAAAGCTGAGTCATGCACTCTGCATGGGAGATGGTGTTTTGCTTCACAAAACTCACCAGCATTTTTGGGGTTATGACAGAGGAGTAGCAGAGATCTGTGAAGGAAAGGTTGAAGAGAAAGTAGTACATGGGGGTGTGCAGGTGAGGGTTCAAAACAATCAGAACAATCAAGCCCAGGTTCCCCACCATGGAGACCACATAGATTCCCAAGAAGAGGAAGAAGAGAGGCAGCTGGAGCTCTGGCTGCTGTGTCAAGCCCAGCAGGATGAACTCCTTCACAGAAGAGTCATTAACTAAGGCCATTCTCTGGGTCATACCTGTGAGAACAAAAAATTCATAACATTAAAATAAAATCCCAACCCTCTGTAACCTACCCCAATAAAATAAGGTTAAGAACCAGAATTCAATGTTCAATTCAAGCTCACACTTCTCTGTGCTTTTTCTTTCTACATATCATGGATATTTATGTGCAGAAATAAATATAAAAGTGTGAAAGGTTATTTCTCTGAAAATAATATTCAGAGAACCAGTTACTGTATTTGGTTCTACTGCATTTCTGTTCTGCTTCTACCATGAAAATCTACCTCTTATTTAACGTTGAGTGATTATCTCAGAAAAGAAGACACAAGGCACATCATAGATTCAAGGTGTTCTGGAGAAAGAAAACAAGAATGTATCCAATTCAATACTTACCCCTGTGCAAGGAAAACTCATCAGTAACCTCACTGAGTCTTTCTTCCTCTCACAGATGGGCAAGTACTTAATGCATTAAGAGCTATAAAGGTGTATAACCCCAAAAGTGTGTGTGTGCATACATACACACACACATATATATATGTATGTATATATATATATGTATATATATATGTATATATATACACTTTTCTGTTGTTACTACATTTGCCTTTCTGATGATGAAGGAAATTAATTTTGGACTGGCAAAGTCACAACCATCATTTCTAGAGATTATATAAAGACATGATAGTAGATCATTATTTACAGTGGTAACTTTTCCAAAGTTGTCTTCTCTAGCCCCGAGGTTGTTAAATAGCATCTACTGGTGTGAAAGAGCCAAGAGATTATGACTCAAGAGAGTTTTATGAGACTGTAAACTTAGGACCTCATTAAATATTGAAAAGATTTTCTTTCCCAGGCATTTTCCCCCAAGAGATCAGGCTTTATTGCTATGGAACTTAGGGACTAGTTCAACGGTAGTGACATTGGCTTATTAGAGGTATGCAATTTTGCTTTCTATGTATTGTTTAAAATTTTTATACATATATACAACGTGTTTTCACCAAAGTCACCCTGAATCCTCTCTTTAAAGTTCCTGCATCCAATGTCCTATCACTATACTCTCACAGTTTCACCCTTTTTTCTTATTTGTTTAACCTACTGTGTCCACTCAGTATTGTCAATATGTATATGAATATAGGGATATCTATGTGGCTATAAGTATTCTCTCCAGGGCCCCATCCTTGAAACAATGTTTCTCCCAGTAGTCACCAACTAACAGTAGTTCTTCACCTTGAAGTAGAACTTCATAACTTTATTTTTCCCCCAAGGCCTATATTTTGTAATGTTTGATTTTACACATAATTTTAACAGTATTATGCATACTGTTAATACCAATGTGAGTTTATCTGAAAAGGGAAAATGTTGAGTCCTCAAAACATGGTTTCAGTGTAGTTATCTATCACCTCTGGCTTTTCCAATTTTTCCACCCTAATGTGCCTATGATCCCTTTGTCTTAGGAGAAGGGGATGTACAGGTCCCATCTAAGATCAAGGACTCCCAACCTCTTGCTCTCTGCCTATTGCCCGGTTATGAATGTTTATGTCAATCACCATTTATGACAAAAAAACCCCACATCTCTGATGAAAGTTTAAAAATTCACTAATCTATGGGAATGATTTATTATGTAAATTTATTGAGAATCAGTTTAATATTATATTCATGGCCGAAGAACAGCCATATGTACTTCCCTGGAGTGTATTACTTTCTAGTCTCAAGTAGCTTGCCCTAAGAATTATGCTAAGAATGAATTCTATCAGTAGATTGGTCTGAAATCCAAACAGAAAGTGCTTGCTCACTCACAGAACACTTGCACCAATGCAACAACAGAGGGTATATGCTGCCAGGTCAACAATTATTGTGGATCTTAGGATCCACAGCTACATAAAATTGATTATTTCTATTTGTCAATGACAGCATGCCTACACTGTAAGTGCTATCAAACTAGAAAATAAGGATGAAGCTTCTAGTCAGATAAGAGCCTCATTTCTCCATGTTTTGACTTGAATATATGGTATCTTCAGAAAAAGGACCTCACCATCAAGTTATGGGCAAAACCAAGAGTAGTAGCAACAGCCTGTAATATTGAAGAATTCTTCAGGACACAACTAGCATATAGCTCTAAACAGGTAACCCATTCCTGAATTTCACTTTTATTTGATAGCATAGGGAATTTAGGAAGATTGTTGTCTCCCAATTAGAAAGTAACTACGTTTAATTTTTATACATGAATATATCTTAAGACGTTTATATAGAAGAAGGCATACACACATCTTTCCCAAAGGTTTTTTTTTAATGTTAGTTATCTCTCCCCAACTTCCCCCATCTATTATACCCTCCCATATCCTGTTCTACTCAGCCCTCCTGCTGCATTAGTCTCCATTCTTCCTTCATCCCATCTGTGTTCTGAATTTATACACATTTTATTTCTGTCACCTTGGGCACCCTCCAAATGGAAAAGCAGGAAAACCTGTTCAATATACAATGGATTCTTTGTACTTTCTGTCACTAGATGAAATCCTATATATTAGTTTAGAATATCTTCTTTTGTAAATATTAAACATACTTCTTATGAAAGTCTATAGTGTAAAAGGGATTTTGTCATTATTCCTAGCAGCTACTTACTTCTGAGGCACTTAAAACAATTAAGCCTAACATACGAAAGGGATGATCTATAAAAAAAAAAAAAGTCTGGAAGAATGACTATGTGAACATCCTTTCCCAGTTCTCTAAGAATGCATACTGGATATTGCTCACAATATTTGCCCCAAAGACAAAGAAGTATTAGGTACAAAAGCTCTTATTTCTAGACAAAAAGGTAGACAATGATAGCATTCATAAAAAATGTTCATTCACAGTCTCCACCCAGAGGTAATTCCAGATTAATAAACATCAATAGAAATACAATAAAAAGCCATAATTCTCATCCATGAATATCACCCTGATCTTTGCAATAATATTGAGAGTACAAGGTGTCTCTTTACATACAACAGCTTCATAGACTGAAATCAGAGCATAATTTGTAACAGTGCAGTATAATGAGGTTTGAAAAGCCAAAAATCTAGGTTCTGTTCCTTTTGTAGTGTCATTGGGACTCATTAAAATGTTCTATTTCTTTGTGGCACGTAACTGAAATATCTACAGTACTTAGAAAGATAAATATGGCTTGAGAATAATGGGCAAAATGATTAGAAGAGGAAGGAGAGAAGTAGCATGAGTTTCAGAGGAAATTACAGCAGTGGGAACAGAAGAAATGGTAAGAGGCATGGAAGTATAGGATAGCAGCAATGAAGGAGAAGAAAGAAATGAGAGAAAGGAAGTTCCCTTAATTCAGAGTAATTCTTTTAGTTCTGATAAAGAAAATACAAAAGAGACATTAAAAGGGAGGTTTCAGCAAGGCTTCTAGTAAAATGGATACAGAAAAACAAAAGGAGGAGAATCCTCTAAAACACCAGCCTAAGGGCTGACTACATTGCAGTTGTCACAAACAGAAGTTAGAAGAGTGAGCTTTTGGTTAAATTTTTACATTTAACCTTAATCTGCACAGGAAAGTACAAGTTTGAAGTAGGAGAACGCACTAAAACGACTAAATGAATACAGAAACAAACATCAGACTATGGTATCAATCACACATTATTTCTATAGATAACAAAGCACAAGAGTGGCAAAGTCTATGAAAAAGTAAAAAATAGAGCAGAAAGAATTTTCATGAAAGGAAATTCCCCAATTTCCATTTAGGATGAGAAGAAATACCGTAAATGAAAAAATTCATCTCAATTATTTCTTACTTGCCAAATTAATAAGGGACCAAAAATTCCCTTAAGCTAACATGAAATGTGTCCCTCAGGACAGACATTCCTTAAGGGATCTCAAAATGATCAAGACTTTGTAATTCATCCAATATGTTCTATAAAAAGTTTTAAAAGATTTATTTTTGTTTTGATTCTTTTTTTTATGAGTTTCTCTCTTCCAGTAGCATACAAAGTGACTTCTAGCACTATGAATGTTAGTTGGTGGGGTGAAGGTTCTAGCTGCGTAATAGCTGGATCTCTCCATGTTCACTGACATAAGCATGGACAGTCAATAGGCCTTACCATCAGGATTTTGGGAACATTCAACAATTGTTTTGCCAATGGCCTGTAAGGTTTGGGAAGCCTGACTATAGGACCCTATTGGTCAATAATATGTCAATAAATGTAGTCCTTTCTTGGGAATAGATAATAGATTAGTGTGAGCTTACTCAATAATAATAGTGAATAATACAGTGAATATTTGTGAGTTATTTAGAGGTAATTACATTGGTATAGATTCTTGCATATTGATACAAAGTTAAATTAAATTGAATTGTATGCATGTATGCTTCTACCTCTGCTTAAAACATTTTTATATATTGATATTTATTTATCATATCACAATGGACATTTCTCCCTCTGATCAAGATACTTATACATTGTTTACATTTTGAGGTCATTGTCCTCATTTTTTGTACAGTTGATTATTTTATAATATTCTAATATAAAGTCTTAGTCTTTAAGTTATATAGGTATTAAAAATTATAGATTAAAAGTAATATATGTTTGTCATAGTTAGACTAATCAGGGTCTTTAGATACATAGAGATTATATTCTGAATAAATTGCTAATCTTCAACCACTTCAAAGAGCTGTAAAATATGGCATTTAAATAACTTAGGGTTCTGTTAAAGAGACACAATTGCTTCTGACAGCTCTGACCTATTCCTGAGAGAATGTTGAGCACCAAAGACATTCCACTTGGAGCTTGTTTTCTTCTTGGCAAAACTGGCCTTTTGGCAAAGAAATGCCCATGCCTCAACCACTGACAAGGAACGTGGTATCCAAAAATGAATAAACATGACTATCAAATCTTGACAAGTCAGGGTAAAATGGCTTTAAAATTCATTCTGCCTATAAAAATGGTCTGTCAGATATTCTAGACCTTAGCCAAAGTTTGTTGCTTCAACATTGCAAATGAGACTTTGGGTGATTGCCCAGGTAACCGGTT